TCTCCTGCCTCAGCCTCCCAAGTAGCTGGGACTACAGGCTCCCACCACAACGCCTGGCCAATTATCATAAAAATTTCCAGCGTAAATATTCACATTATTTTACGATAATTTTCCTTTGCCATGTTTAAGCAGAGTATCACAACTAACCACAAGTAACTTCTGGATTTTCTATAGTAATGAAAAAATATGGTTTTTTTTTAAAAAAAGAAAATTCCACAGTTGAAAATACAGCCAGATAAAGCGGTTTCTAGGAACAAACATCTAGCTCTTCCCAACGTTATTTATATACTTCCAATGACAAATTTTAAAAAGTAGATCAAATAATCCCCAATTAGATCTTTCAAATAATAATAATTGATGAAACTCTTTGACATTGATAATGTCAATGGACATGATAAAAAATAGTAATCTTAATAAATATTTTTCAAACAACGTTGAGGCCACCTTTTTGTGCAGGCATGGAGGAAGTTAGAGTTTAGGTATTCTGGTATCCATTGAGGATTTGGCAATAGACACCAATAACAAATAGGAGAAGGAAAACAGTGATACTTATGTTGTTAATATGTAAGAATATTCTTTATTTTGGAAAACTCAACTAACTGACATATAGCAAGCATCTCTTAAATCTCTGTAGCACTGTTACATTATTTGTTACTGTCTAAATATTCCAAGCAGATTGCATATGTGGTTCCTTTATTACCACATGAAATATTAATAATGGTGACAAATAAGATGAATAAATAAATAGGCAAATGCATAACTATGATTCAGTCCTTGTCTGACCCTACTTGGATGTTGTCGATGCCTCTTCAGGATACCTAGCCGTGGTGGGCATGAGTGCGTGCCCCACAGACCTCCACGTACAGGAAGTTCAACGGGCAAGGCTCATTGCTGCCTCGTTCTAAAATCTATTTCTGCACCTGCCCGCTAGTCGGTGACTCAGTGCAGCGGGCTTGTTACAGCAGGTTCATCACTGGGAGGCACAGGGTTTCGCCAATGACCAGATCCGGCTCACAGTTCCCTGAAGCCCTTGCTTAACCTTTCTCAGACTGTGCATCACTCTTAAATGTTTCCAATTAGCCCTCCTTTACTTTCTCCTTCCTGTAGGGTCAGATTTTCCTTACAACTACACCTTTTCCAGCCTTACCTAGCTTCCTCTCATTTTCTCTCATAGGGATGTCCACTAATAAAAGTCTCTTGTGTTTAATCCCTTCCAACGTCTATCTCTTGGAGGACCCAGACTAATTCCCACTCTACAAGTTGGGAACCTGGGATCTGAAGACATTCGGCAACTTTCCCAAAGCAGCACCATTTGCAAAGTGTGGAGCAAGGATTTAACCCTTAGGAATATGAGCTCCAAAATACAGCTGATACAAACTCCTGAAACTAACTAATACACGTATAAGTTACAAGTACGATTAGCCTGCTGCAAAAGGTCGTATTTTCCTCTAATTATAACCTGTCAAAGGTTTCACTCTTTATAATTAAGAAGAGATGTGTCATTTTCCCCCCAAGATCTCAACATACAGTTCCGTGCATCCAGCTCGAAAGTGACATAAAAGCTGTTGTCAGGGGAGGAGAAACTAGCAGACTGCACGTCTGCCATATGGTTTTCCCATTTCTCTGGAAATGGCGACACGATGCAGGCAATGGACACAAAAACATCTCTTCATTTCAATTAAGCTATTAATTGATTCACGTTTTGGTTTATTTACAGGCTGGAAAACTTTCTTTTAAGAGGCAGGAATTAAAATTGATCAAGAATCTCATGCTGAGCTACTATATTAATGAATATTTCAGAATCACTTTTCTTACGTATCATTTAGATAAAGAAACATACTGTAAGGTAGGATATTTAAAATACTTCAAAAGAAATATAATTTGATAAAATCAGTTATTCTTTTCTACTTGTATTCGGTTCAGAAGCCCCACAGTGCAATAGTGTTATTAATATATACAAACCTTAATGGTTTAAATGATAAAGACAGATGATACCAAGTGTTAGCAAAGATATGGCACAATTGGGACTATCTCCCATTGTGGATGGAAATGTAAACTTATATTAACCACTATTTGACATGCCTGCTAAAATTAATCAGATCCTACGATTCTGGGTATATGTCCAGCACTGTTTACCAAAAGCCAAGTGCAAGAAGGCTCAGAGAAGCTCCAGTGACCCCAAACTGCACCAACCCAAAGCTACACATATAACATTAGTGTGGGCAAATAAATGGCAGTAGATTTATAAAACAAAATCATATACATTGATGAGAATGAATCATAACGAATTACAACTATATTCAAAAAGATGGACAAATCTATAAACTAAACATTTAATGAAAGAAACAAGATACATACTCTATGATTTCATTCATTAAAATTCAAACTGCTTATCAATTATATTCTAAGATCACCATAAAAAGTAGTGTCTAGAATAAGGGGCAATATTATGTTGTTTTTTTTTTTCACTTTCATCCAGGTTACATAGTGGGGTTCAATTTATTAATAAAAAATGCATTGAGCTGTGCAGGTAAGATCTGAGATTTAACTACATTGTATGTATTGTCATCTTAAATAAAGCACTGTGTTAAAAACGCCTTATGCTATTTTTCTTAATATGTTTACAACAAAGTTTCCATTAAACCATCATATAAATAAAGGATACATGCACATATTTTTAATATGCACTCAATGATTCTCTCAGTCATTAAATAGGTACTCCAGGATCCTAGTTTAAGATAAAAAGTTACACCCTGCAGGTACTAAGGTGTATGCAAAAACCATGGTTTCTAAATTAAATAATTACTTTTTTCTGACTAAGGCTTTTTATTTGAGTTTCTTTGATGAAATTTTAATAAATCATTAATTACTCCCTTTTTTCCCTAAATGTACAAGTAATGGATAAAACATTTCAAGGATCCCTTGAAACAGAAGTTCCTTGACTTGAAAAATTGTTCACATTTCCATGAGAAGGAGGGAACAGAACACAAAAGAGGGGAGGGAGGGAGGGAGGGAGGGAGCCAGGCAATGTTTTTTGTCTGAGAAGTAATAGACCCACCATCTGTGCTTGTTTCTTCTAAGTGGAGCCGGTAATGGATGACAGCAGTTGAGCACGAAGACTCACTCCCCAAGCACCTCTCATTTTTCATTAACAAGGAAAAAAGGCAAGCACTGATATATTTACATTCTCCAAAAATGTATTAAAATGATGATTAACAAGATTTCGGTTCGCTCTCTGTTGAACATATAAAATACTTAAAAGAAGCACTAATAAATCTATAGACAGTGTGCCAGTAGGAAGTCATTTTTCCCAACTTTATCAACCTTTCCTATTTGGAACTAAGGCCGTGCCTTACTGGTTGAGATTAATTTCACTTTATTCAGAATACAACAGAATTTGGTTCAGATTCACAGCAAAAGTATAGTATATTCATGTGCACATATAATTTCAAGGAGGAAAATATCTGGAATGTGACCTGGATTTCAGTACAAATCAGTTAAAAGAGTCTTAG